CTAGTCTGTGAAAAAAAAAGGCACATGGGAGAAATGATGTAATATGCATTAGTGGATTCTAACAGCCAAAGTAAGGGTAAGCATCTGGTAATCCAAGACAACTAATTGAGTGTATGTGGAAGATTTAAAATCTTGATCTCATTCTTTCCCTACTGAGCACAGGCTTCATAATAGCATAACAACCTGGTGATAGTGGATGGAATGGTTCTGAGAAAGGTTAAGCTGTGTTGACTAGTATCAAGGAAATAACAACAGAGGTCAGTAGAGCTAAAAGTATTGGTCAAGTGAAGACTAAAGAAAATCATAGGTGTTAGGGATACATCTTCCACGAGCAAATAAGACATAATAACATATGCCCATTGAAATGTTGCTTGACCATGGTATAGTTTTATTACCCTATCTCTAAAGATAGCTTTAAAGAATATTATGATAGTAACTACACAGTTATTACTCTCTTTTATAACCCACTCACCTTGCTGATATTCACACCAATCAGAATTTATCTGACCTTACATGTTCAATTCAGACTTTTTATATCTAAGATCATATTCTAGATCCTTCTGACTATCTTGTTCTTCAACTTGTCAAAGTGTTTCATTCTTGTAGTTAGTATTCACTTAATATCTACCAAGTTACCATTGGAGGAAATTTCAAGGAAATGCAATATGCTAAGGATATCCTATTCAGCAAGGAGCTTGAACCTGCTACCAACCTGAAGACTACTAGAGTTTGTCTGGCTTGCAACCAGGTATAGTCCATGAACAAACATGTATTGCTGGTTGATACATCAGATGTAAGGTATCTTACAGTGTTAGTTGTAAAGTTGGCCCTTAAGTCTACTGGAGATGGGCAGCCTTAGTCAATCATGAATCCACTCACAGAACCCAAGCCCTTCCAAAACAAAACAACCATCAACTTCAGAGAACCTACTACAAACCACCATCACCACATTGGTCAAGCCAAACCAGCAGGTGGCTCAGACATATCTGCTGAATGCAATATCATCAGCAGTGAAATAGGAGTCAATGGATTGGGATCCTTTCCTGAGGTGTCCTCACGGGGGAGGTTTAAATACTACCATGTGGCAACACCAGTTATGCACACATATACAGCACAATCACTAAGTCCTGAAGCCTCAAAAGGCCTCACCAGAGTTAAAGTTGTCTTAAGTTGTGGTTGAACACCAGGAAGGGAAGCCCATGACATTCTGCACCACTTGACTGGCACCTTAAAAAACAACTGTGGATATTCTGAAGGTCCACACCATCAATGGTAGATGGATCACTGTGATGAGGAATGAACTGACTCTGAAGACTTTACTGCTAGTCACACCACAACCATTAGTGACAGAATAGTTTTTCGGGTTAAATGAGATCACCTCCACCTCAACAACTGGTCCAGTGACATTGCTGACTCCATTGCAACTCAATAACAAAACACAAAAAACATAGTATATCTTTTAAAAGTAAAAACACTAATTTTAAAGATAGAATCAAACATCAACAAGATAACTTATTAAGCCTTAAGGAATCTCCAGTGATGTGACTATCAAACATCAACAAGATAACTTTATTAAGCCTTAAGGAATCTCCAGTGATGTGACTATGTTTCATATTGTATATTATTCCTAAGTCTTGGTACTACTTGTACCTGATGATGACTAAAACCTTCTCCAAACCTTGTACATTTGTTACCGTGTTAGACATGTTATCAAGAGTCCTTTATTACCAATTCAGCCCATCTTTAAACTGTATAAGCTGAATTTATTTCAAGTTATTTGATGTCTTTTCATTGAAGAAAATTTGTGTGGTTTTCAAACAAATGTAATTTAAATGCAAATAAAAGGAACATTTACAGAAGGTATTAAAAAAACACTTAAACCTATATATTTATCTACTAAGATGTAATTCTTGCTTTATCCAATCATATTTAAACCTTCTCTATAGCAGTTTTGAAAGCTGTGTTTCATTACTAAATGTTAAATCCAAGACCTGTACAGAAACTAGGAAACTCTTGAAAATCCAGAAATGGATAATATATTCTGGATATATATATAAGCTGTGTTTCATTACTAAATGTTAAATCCAAGACCTGTACAGAAACTAGGAAACTCTTGAAAATCCAGAAATGGATAATATATTCTCTAGGGGTGATAGTTTCTTAATAAAAAGATAGTTATTCTTTGGGACGAGCAGAGAATTTTTTAAAAAAGTCTATAAGTGAGTTGTTTACGAAGCTCCTTAAAGCTGGGCAGAAATGAAAATATGAACTTTTTTTTCATGAATTACACTAAATAGATGCCAGAAAATGGCAAAATATCAATTCTAAAATACATATGTAAACAAAAAATATGAAACAACAGAGGAAAGACAGACTTCAAGCACAATAATTTAGAATTAAGTTGAATTTTTAATCCTAAGCTTTGCAAATAAAAATTTCTTATACACACAAATTATGCATCTACACCATTTAAAATTCAGAAGCAATAAAAAACTTATTCACTTATCAATCACCCACTACAAAGTTTCTGTACATATTTTTCCTGACACTGTTTTACAAGTTCATAATAAGTGTATGTACAACAATGTTGGTGCCTTAAATGTTGTAAAGGTAACTACACAGTTTTTCAAATGCTTTGTAACCAACCAAGGAAAAGATAATTGCAACCCATTTTATTTATTATGCAAATGAATACTTAATCAAAGTAAAAACTATATTTTTTTATATTCCTCAAGTACCCTAAATTTAAAATCAACTTAACTTTAACTCATTACTTGTAAGTCATACCACTTTCTTTTTCATTTATTTTGGAAATTAACAATATGAAAAACATGTTTCTTACACAAATTCTAGCTTCCAAACAATTTAAAATTGATTCCGTAACAACACTATGTGATAAGAGATGTAGGGATAATAAACAATAGTAATTTTGATTTGTCATAAGACATTACATTAGGCTTACTATATTTTTTGACACTACATTCTTCATCTAGTCACTTAAGGACTTTCAAGAACTAGAAGAGTGTATATGACAATAATATTTCAGCCACACTATATTTGTTATATCCACTGTTGATGATGCATTTTGCTCAGTCCAGAGAGCTCTTCAGGCCAGCTGGGTTACAACAAACACAATAGTAGTTGGAACACGATGGTGTGAACAACTGTTAATCTAAAACAGTTACAATGGAAAACATTAATTTTGATTAATTGATTAAATTTGTGACATGAATGAACTTTATCAAAACTTTGATTAATCAATTAGTTTCTGCAACACTAATCAATATAATTGCTGATTGTAAACAATCCATTATATCAATTAACTGATCACCCAGCTCTAGCCTCAAGACTACTATAATTTACCTGATCAGAGAGAAGATAGCAATAAGTAATTGTATAACAAGATCAGGATTGTTACTAATAAAATAATAATGCAGCATAAGTGCTTAATACATGGGGCTGAAGAGGTACATGCTCCCCCTCACTTTCTCCAGTTAGTGTATACACACACTCATAGTCGTTGGATTGAGTTAGCTTCCACCCCCCACCTTCCAATAAAGTTAAGCATTCATATGATTCAGTAATTATGAGATATTTTAACTTTATATACATTGTTGGAATTGAATAAAGTCAAATAGTGAGGGAGAGAGATTTTTTCAAAAGATTCAGGATGATTTTCTATACAAAATGTTTAGAAAGTTAACCAGGGTGGATAAAGTTATAGGTGAACTATTAACCGCTGATGAGGATATGGTTGTAAGAGTTGAAGTGGGGAAACTTTTGTGAAGTGTCATCAATTCATAATTAGGTTTATGTTTGTACACATCTTGAAATCAAAAATAAAATTTTAGTTCATGTTTTCAGAAAGACATTACTGATACTACAAGATTTATCATTATTTAATTGGGATAATGAATTAAAAGGTGATGTGGAACAAATGTAAAATTTTTTTAAAATACATTGCTTTTAATTCAAGATAGGCATGTTCCCAAAAATAAAAAAGGACAACAAACCTAATTTGATAAATGCCATAAGTTACAGAAGTTTAAGATGACAGACAGAGAGGTTGACCAATTCACAGAATTATAAGAATGCTAGGAATTTGGGAGAAAGAGAATTTACAGGATAAAAAAAAGGGGATTATGACAACAACAAAAAAAACTGGCTGGCTGGCACTGTTAAAACTAATAGCCAAAATGGTGAATTCAGGTCTGTTCTAGTGTTTGTTTATTAACTGGAATGAAAGGACAAAATTTTAAAATTACAGACTAGGCTCCAATCAATAGTTTTATTTTTTAAACAGAGTGATTGATTTATGAAATGAGTTGCCGTTGGCAGAAGTGGAGGCAAGCACTTCACAGAAGTTTAACTTTAAAAGGATAATTAATGATTTCCTGAAAAATAAAGGGTAGGTTTAAATTTTAGTTTGCTTGAGAATGGTTGTGAAAAGTCAGTCTTAAAGAATGAGAGGTTTTGCAAAACAAGTTAAAATATAGGTTAATTTTTGCATAATGAAAAGATTCTGCATAAATAATTCACATAGCATCAAAACTCAACTCTGTTTAATGGGTTAAGAAACCTGATTCTGCCTACCAATTACAATATATACTGAATAATGCGCTGAAAATACAATGTGAAATTAAAAATAAAATGCTCAAACATTTCTTTCTTATTTTAACTTGTTATGCAGAATAAAACCATATTTTGACCTATTATACAGTATTGACATATTTTTAATTTTAATATTGAGCAGTTATATAAAATTCGGAGTTGTGCAAATTAAAGTACGTGATTTACGTGAAATATTAATAGTACATTCTTTAAACTAAAAGGACCAAATGGTTCTTCGATGTGCGTGTGTTATGCTTTTAAGTTCACTGCAAAAATAATTATGAAAATAAATATTTTATTTCAGGATAAAAAGCCTACGATACGAAAATCACAAGACAATTAAAATTCAGTCAAACTACGCTTTACTTAAGCTAACGAAGCCTACTCACCAGAACCTAAAGAATTAACATAAGGAACAGAACTTGGATGTTTCGGAGCTTTTCTAAGTTTTTTATCGGAGAGAACTTTCGTTGCTCGATTCTCAACATTAAAATTTTGCAATGGTCGTCGAATAAATACAGAATATGGTTTACCCATAATCTAAGTCTCGCGAACAGAATCAACCTCTGTAAGAACTTACTACTTTCATCCTTTACATTTCAATAACAAAAATAAAACACATTAGGCCTAAAACGAAAACGCGATATTATTCCACAGGCATAATCTGTTTGTTTTTTAATCGTTTATATAAAAAGAGGATTCCGAGTGAAGTTATGATATCATTGAATGAGATAGATTAGTTGAATATTCCTGGACAAAATTTTATCATCTCTTAATTTTCTCTAAAATAATACTTTTTATTTGTTTGTTTGCTGTTAAGCACAAAACTGCACAATGGGCTATCTGTGTTTTGCCCACACCAGGTATTGCATGAAACCCAATTTTTAACATTATAAGGCCTGAGAAGTTGAACCACCAGGAAATGGGGATCACAAGATCATACAATAGATAATTTGATAACAATGAATTGTACCGAAATTACTTGGGGATGTAAAACTTTACGAGGCTGTCACATATAAATGCGAGAGGGGTGGGGATTCGTTGCTAAAACTAAAGGAGGCGAGGGGACAAATATTTGTATATTTAAGCAGTTGTAGAGCCATTAATTCAAAAATCCTTCTACAAATCCCAACTATTTAGTAAATGTAGTTAAATTTATTCATTTGGCAGTGGTTAAAGTGAGAATCTGGAGCTGGGTAAGGGGCTGCGCCTCATCCACTAGGTAAATTGAATTATCCAGTTCAACGTTTTGTTAAGTATATACTGTGTATTAGTTCAAAAGTTAAAGGTGTAAAAATTAAAACATGGCCAGGTGGTTAAGGCACTCGACTCGCAATCTCAGGGCCGCGGGTTCGAATCCTTGTCACACCAAATATGCTCGCCCTTTCAGCCGTGGGGGCGTTATAATGTGACGGTCAATCCCATTATTCGTTGGTAAAAGAGTAGCCCAAGAGTTGGCGGTGGATGGTGATGATTACTAGGTACTGTTGCGTCATCGAATCACATGACTACTGTGACGCAACGTTTCTAGAACTATCATGTACTTTGGCGAATGTTCTAGTTCTTACTAGATATAGGGTAGGCTGGTATATAAAAGAGGGGAATGTAATGTGTGGGTGGATAGTGAGTATGTGATCTGCGGTCAGAGTATTAGTGACGTTCGTTGCTATAGCGT